CTGGAATTTGCAAACTAAATGCGGAAACATATTTACCACACACACACACACACACACACACACATATATATATATATCTGGTGTACTTGGATTAGTTCTGACCACGTGTGAAAGACCAAGGGCAGCTCAAGATTGGGCTATCCTGTTTGACTGCAATTTGCAAACTAAATACGGAAACATATTTACCACACATACATATCACAAAATAATAGAAACAGCCAAATAAGGCTTCATATACTAGGCGGGTGTGTGTGTGATAAAAGTAATCATACAGATGAGTGCAAAAGTTTTTAAATCTACAATGACATGAAGAATGAAATCATTAACAGTTCTGGTTAAGAAGTTAGCACACAGGATCACCTACAAAAGTCATAATGTTTTCAAAAGAGACTCAAAACTTCGTTAACAGTTATCACCGTTCGTTCTTTTCATAACATTAAATCGTTTACGTCAACATTTCAGCCTTAATCGTGAGGAGATATTTATAGCAAAACAATTTTTTGCAAATTTATGGTGACATTTCTGTTACCACTGGTAACGTGAAAGTTATATAGTAACAGAGCTATACCATTCTGTTGAAAATCTAATGCGTTTGTTTCTTAGTAGAGGTGCGAATGTTTAACTAGTTTACAAATACAGACTCACTCGTTGGAACGAACTGAGTAAACACGATGATAAAATAACTCAAGGTTTTAGACTTAAATTGAAATAACTTTGTTGTATCTGTAACAGTATACTGAGGATGAAGAGAGGAATACGCTTTTTTTTGTTACGATCGGAATGCGAGATGCTTTAAAAACTCAACTGTGGAATTCATTAAAGAAGTATTTATGTAACAACTGAGAGCTGTTTCGAAAAGTATGGGTATAAGGTTATAGTTTCATAAAATTAAATACAAAAGAATATCGTTATATTTCTGTCACTATAACAGGCAGATTTAAAATGTAATAAATAAAATCGAAATTAGTCCTTGTACTATAATGGATCAGTTTTACTGAACAGTTCGATAAATTAATGTGTAGGCTTGCTTTCAAACGGTTAGACATATGCATATCTTTCGGTGTTTCTCTTAAAAAAATGTGTATTTTTGCCACTACTTTTGATCTTCCCCCCCCCCCCCCTTTTTTTTTTTTGAGGATCAGTCCGGAATTTCGAACAAAGGTATTTATTCTCCAAAACTTATAAGCCAGGGAAGATACATATTTAGCTTTACAAACCAAATTCATTTAGTAAACAATAACAATTTGTGTAACTGTCACTCCCTCTCTTTCCCCTCCCTGTGTGTCATTGAACTATTCCAACCATGCACCGTCTTGAAGACTGTTTCTGAAATCTGTAGGAAGAGCAGATTATCATTCGTAGGAGTTAACTATTCAGGGTGTTTGTCCCTTCGATTTCTGAAGAGTGGGCGAACCCATATTACAGGTTTTCTTGAAGTTGAAGACACCACGGTGTTAAAAAATGTTGCGCGAGACTACTCTAGATGCGCACGCGCTTTTCTCCTATGCGTACATGCAAGACGGCCGAGTTTCCCTACTGCGATGTTAAAAGTCTGTTGGTAGAACTTGGTTTTAGTCAGATCGTAAAATTTGCCGCGTATAAATTTTCCTACTTGTAGTGTATTACGGTTTTATAAGTATACATATCAAATAGTTGGTTATCTTGGAGACATAAGTACTGAAATAAATAATTTAAAACTTTGGGGATTTATATGATATTTCAAGACACTGGAATCCAGTTTTCATACAACTGAATGTGATATTTGACAGTTGTGTTTATTGATTATTTCTCTGCCGGAGATCTGGCGTCAACCCTAGCGTTGGTTGTCGCCAAGGTGGTGTAGGGAAGCCTCAGAGTTTATTGATGTATGTTATATAAATTAGGCGTATAGCTGTAAGGTTAGGTTATTTTTAACTCTGAAGAGAATGCATACCCTGGAAAGTCAAGCCCTTTCTTCAGAAACGTTAGCCAGTGTTAGCAAAAGGTATGACGAACTTGAAATTTAAAAACTTTTATTATATCTAAGCTTTTGTTAATTTTTATTATGATTCTTGGTTTTTGCTTTCTCATACAAGACATTATTTTCGTGAGTTATTGATTTGTAGTGATTAAACATTACATATTTGAATGAACTATTATCCTAGGGATTTCATCCCGTTACGCAGTGTTTATTTTTAAAACTGTATGTCATAATATCTGTTTTTCCTTAATAGATATTTAAATTACTTCAATAATTATATTTTGTCAACTTTACAATGGTTAACCGTTATCACTATTGATATTACCCAAGACGAAGAAAAAACTGACATCTAAGCACGTTTCAGAAATATTTTCTATTGTTTTATTTTTAAACACACAGCGAAGGCTCTAGGAAACGAAATTAGTAAATATTGTGTTAAAGAATGGGTGCGTTTTGTGACATAGAAATCAACTTAAATTATTAAAAGCTGCGTGGTATAATTAAAACTGTAAAAGTTGATTTAACATTTACTAAACGTGAGGATGAGGTGAGTTTGATCCATCTCGAGTTTAAAGATTGGGTATCTAGAAGCATTCTGGTAAGCGTGGTGAAAATAACAAGTTGGAAAATGATATTAGTGTTAAAAGGTTTAGAAAATATTTAAAGAATTGTGAAGAAATTCCATGCCGAGACCTGTGGAGCGAGAGTACGGAGTTTTACGGTGACGCTACGAAATGTGTGTTGTTGTTGGAACGTGTATTTTGAGGCTTGACGACAGCTAAGGGCACAGATTACGTAGGCGTGTATTGAAACGGATGTACAATTTTACTTTTAGTAAAACGTGCGAATTAAAAATTTAATCATAACTATGGTATTTCCAAAAATATATTAAATGTTAGACAAGTAACGCATAACGGAATTTTAGACCTGTGGACATACGATTAAAATGGCAATAACATTAACTACATCATTTTGTGTCATCAAATGTAACAGTTTCGATGACGAGGAACACACTTTGAGACTAATAATGGCTGGAGACGGCTTGAATGGGTAATGAA